CCCAAAGGAAGTCAGTCAGCTGCGGGCTCTCTGGGGGGGAAAGTGTTCCGGAATGGAGGGCACAGGAGGTGTGAAGGCCCTAAAACAGGAAACACCTAGCTTATGTGAGGAACAGCCAGGAGGCCAGTCTGGCGGGAGCACAGTGAAAAAAGGGAAGCGTAGCAGGAGATAACAACAGAGAAGTAAAGCAGGGCCAGACCACGTAAGCCTGCGTTTCCAATATGGCAGCCAGGAGGCCCACCAGGCTCCAGGGCACATGAAATGCACCTAGTCCAAATGTTGGTGTGAGTTGGGACGGCAAAGACCAGGTCCTACAGGTCCGGAATGAAAACACAGGGGTGGGCAAAAGTAGGTGGGAACTCTGTGCCACAGTGTATATAGCCAGGAGACTACAAGCATGTGTCAATCATGAAGGCCGGCAATTTGAGCAAGGATGGTAAGTGCACTGAGCCATTCTTTTGAGATAATAAAGCTACTGTCATGATCATAACCTGCATGTCTTTTTCCACACAAGCAACTGTAAACCTACTTTTGCCATCCCTGTACAGTTCACATATTTTTTTTACATCCCGGGTTAAATACATTATTATGTTTCTTTTTCTCTTTTTTAATCTGGCTTCCAGAAAATGTTAAATTACACGTGTGGCTCTCGTGTGTCACTCGCGTTATATTTCTATGGGATCGTGTTGATGAGCTACAGGGTCTCGTGGGCCACTCTGAGGACGGGGGCTTTCACTGAGAGAGGAAAGACGCCCTTGCAGAGTTCTGAGCATGGCAGGGCATGATGGGATATGCCGCATGGCTGCTGTGAGGACGACGGCCTGTCAGGGGCAAAGGAGAAGCAGGTGAGAGGTGATGCTGGCTTGGGCCAGCGTGATGGCAGGGAAAGTAGTTCTGACTGGTCACATGCCAGGAATATTGCAGATAGAGCCCCTAAGATTTGCTGCTGGGTTGGATGGACATATAAAGAGAGAGAAGTCATGAGCACAGATATTATGGATGACGGCATTCCCATAACTGAGATGGGAGATTCCGGGAAGAATACGTTTGTGTGGGAAAATCAGGAGTTCCGTATGGTACATGTGAAGTGTGAAATGTCTATTAACATCCAAGTTGAAATGTTACGCAGGCAGATGGAGGCATAGGTCAGGTCTGTAGTTCAGGGGAGAGGCTGGGCTTGGGACAAATAACTGAGGGTCATCAGCATGTGGATTTCTTTTCTAACTTTCCATTCTGGAAAATTTCAAATAGAAATAAAACTTGAGACAGTATAGTAACGCCCCAGGTACTCATCACCTAGCTTCAACCATTATCTACTCAGGGTCAAGCTTGTTTATCTCCCAGGATGACTTGGAAGCAAATTCTGGACATTGTTCATGGTGGTATGTAAAGCCACGAGTGGGAGAGGATCACAAAGAGAAAGACAGAAGGTGAAGAGGAGGGGCCTCGGGCCTTTCCATGTTTAGAGGTCAGGGAGATGAGATACTGAGAAGGGAGAGCCAATATGATTAGCAGAAAACCTGAAATATATGTCCCGAAGCCTCGTGAAAAAAGAGCTTCAAAGAAAAGGGTATGGCCAGTTGGGTCAAGTACTGCAGAAGCTCCTATGATGAAGACTTGAGGGGTGACCTCCATGGCAATAACACGGAGGTCACTACCAGCCCTTCACTTCATTGGAGTGCTAGGGATAAGACTGACTGGAGGGATTCTAAAGAGCAAGAGAGCAAGGAATGAAACTCTGTAAGGGAGAGAGACATGACAGTAGCTAGAGTCAATGAGAGCTTTTTGAAGATGAGAAAACAGTAGCATATGGAAACGATCCAGTAGAGAGGGGGAAACTGGTGATGCAAGAAGATCAGGGAGTCCAGCTGGCGTGCCTCAGTGGTAGAGTGTTGACCTATGGACCAGGAGATCAGGGTTCGATTCCTGGTCAGGCCAGACACTGGATTGCAGGCTCGATCCCCAGTGTGGGGTGTGCAGGAGGAAGTTAATCAATGATATTCTTTCTTATCATTGATGCTTCACTCTCTCTCCTCCCTTCCTCTCTGAAATCAACATATATATATATATATATATATATATATATATATATATATATATATATATGTAGGCAAGGGAATTCTTGGAGCAATTCCTGGATATAGGAGAGGGATGAAATTCAGTGTAAAGGACAGAGGTTATCTTCAGACCGGACCTCAATTTTACCTGGGAAAAGGCTGAGAATACAACATATTACAACCTGTTTTTAAAACTTTGTGTTTCATGATGTAGATAACCTATCAGTACAGCAATGCTCTATGTAAATTATAAATACACCACATAAGAGGAGTTCTCAAAAGTTTTAACCAATGTGGGTGCATAATCAAAATAATTAAAGATCACTTAATTGGAAGAAAATTAAGCATACTATCAAATTATAAACTAGGTAGCCTTTAGTGACTGGCATGCATATCACAGTATAATTTATACTAGTATGTTCTGTATTATTATGTTAAGTATACAATAAAATATCTAGCCCTAATTGGTTTGGCTCAGTGGATAGAACATCAGCCTGCAGACTGAAGGGTCCCAGGTTCAATTCCGGTCAAGGGCATGTACCTTGGTTGCAGGCACATCCCCAGTAGGGGGTGTGCAGGAGGTAGCTGATCGATGTTTCTCTCTCATCAATGTTTCTAACTTTCTATCCCTCTCCCTTCCTGCCTCTAAAAATATCAATAAAATATATTTTTTAAAAATAAAAATCAATAAACTATTGGGGAAAAGATTAAAAATAATAAAAATATCTAGAAGAGGTAAAAAGAATAATAGTCTTTGTATCTGAGAATAGATATTTTATTAACTAAGATTTTTCACAAACATTACAATCCAGAAACTGCAATATAGCTGCATCTGAACTGCATGTAGAAAAAAACAAGAATCACGAACCATTATTGAAATCAGAGTGTCACAGGGACCGAATATAAGTCTGATTGTTTATTTACCCAGAGAAATGCAAATCAGACCATGGTTTTATTAGCCAGGCAGGCCTCAATTGCACCATCAGATTCTGCTCCCGAGGGAGGATGGTTACCCCATACCATACGGCTCGGCAATGCACAGCAAATGGAGAAACTGGGCCTAATTAGGCAGGTGGCCTGATCAGAACAGGCAGAGCCCCAAACCAACCCGCAGTGTCCACAGAGCCACCAGCTGCCCACACAGCACAGCAGCCCCGCTTGGCGTGAGCTGAGCCCTTTCGCCATTCAGAGCATCTTTCAGATCTTCTCATTCAGCCTCCCTGCACTCCGCCAGTGAAGTCAGCGTTCCACTTTAACCTGTTTGGCTATACGGACTCAACCCTACGGCGGCGTGAATAAATGGACAGACACCAAGGCGGTCAGCAACACTGCAAGGATCCCAGTCACACGGCGACGCAACAGAGGCCTGCCACAGAAGTCACCTTGAATGACAGCAATGCCCGGCTTGTGTGGCTCAGTGGTTGAGAGTTGACCTATGAACCAGGAGGTCACAGTTCAAAACCTGTTCAGGGAAATGCCTGGGTTGCAGGCTCAATCCTCAGTGTGGGGTGTGTAGGAGGGCAATTGTTCAATGATTCTCTCTCATCATTGATGTCTCTAACTCTCCTCTCCCTTCCTCTCTGAAATCAATAAAAAATATTAAACAAACAAATAAAATGACAGCAAGAGCAGGTGAATACTAAGTCCTAGAACGTGGCAGAGCGTTCAGCACAGAAGCGAGGGTCCTGGCCCCCCGTTGTTGGGGAGACAGATGACAAGCAGTCCCCCCAACAGCTCTGCTGTGATCAGGCTGTAAGCTCCGTGAGAGCAGGCCCCTGCCTGTGTTTTCCCAGCTGTATGCCCGGTGCCTGGCACAGAGCAGGCTCTCAACAAATATTTACTGAAGGAAGGAAAAAAAAAAAAAGACTAGTTATATTAAACCACAAAGATGAGGAAAAATGAACACTCAAAAAAATGACAAAATGGTTCCATAAAACTCAGGGTAACTGGTGGTGGCAACTGACTGGAGATAGAGGGACACAGCTAAATAAATCTAAAAGGCAGAATTGTTGAACATAAATTCTTTGAAGAATGACCATCATTTTCAATAACAGAGACTTTGAGGTTAGTCATCAACTAAAGGAAGCGTGTGAGTCTTATTGAGAGCCTGATTCAAACAAAATCAACTATTAAAAAAGAAAAAAGAAAAAAGAAAAAGCCAGGACCGGTTTGGCTCAATGGATAGAGCGTCGGCTTGGGGACTGAAGGGTCCCGGGTTCGATTCTGGTCAAGGGCATGTACCTTGGTTGCGGGCAGATCCCCAGTAGGGAGTGTGCAAGAGGCAGCTGATCGATGACTCTCTCTCATCGATGTTTCTAACTCTCTATCTCTTTCCCTTCCTTTCTGTACAAAATCAATAAAAAATAAAAAAATAAATAAAAAAGGAGACAAACAGAAAAATGAAAATACTGGTGATAGGTGGGAAATGGTGCTTTTGCGAGGGGTGATCCTACTACTGGAGTTAAGTTATTCAAAGGCATTGTGTTTTAGAGACACACCGTGGAGTATTTATGGTGTAATATGATGTTTGGGATTTGCTGTAAAAAAATCTGAGAAGGGAGGAAGGAATAAAGTAGGCGGGGCCATACATGAAGCAAGAGGGGCCACGTATTGGTATGTAGAAAGTGAGTGATGGGAACACTGAAGTTTCTTATACGGACCTACTTTCATGTAGAATTTATATTATAGATAGTGTCTCCCAAAAGAGGTTTACACACACTTTGAATAATTACAAAGTCAGCGTTTATTAAAGTACATTTCATTTTAAAAATTGAGCTATTAGCTCTTAGAGGGTGTATAAATCTTTGGGGGTGGCCTGTATGTGAAATGTTTCATAGTAAGACTGTTAAAAAGAAAAATAACCCTAATCTCAAACTGCAGTTCATTTCCTTGCACCTGCCCCTGCCCCCCTCATACAGGGAAATGTGATGGTCAAGGTCATACCTGGACTCGGTCATTTCCAAGGAGATCTGCAGACAGAGCTGAGGGTCCTGTCTTTTCTTCATCACTGCCGTCATCATCGCCTGGGACTCACCTGCTTCAGCTCCACTTTCACTCCGGGCCTGGGGAATGCCCTTATGGGTTCAAGGTTGTGTCACCATAAATATCTTAGCTGGCTGGTTTGCATTTAACCTAGTTGTCACTTTGGTTTCAGTTTTCCATGGACAAAGTTCTCACAATTACTCCCATTTTTACATTACATAAATCTCAGTCTCATCTACCTAATAAAAGAGTAACATGCTAATTGACCATTCCTTCACGATGCCCACCAGCCAATCAGGAGTGAATATGAAAATTAATCCAACAAAGATGGCAGGTTAATTTGCATACACAGGTGCTGAGTGACTGGGGGTGCAATGCTTGCCTTGCCATGGTGACAACACAGGCAAGACGCACCACCCCAGCTGCTCTGTGTCTCTGGGCAGCGTGTGAAGGCAGAAAGGCAGCTTGGGGCCAGAGTGAAGGTGGTGCCAGCAGCCGGGGAACAAAGGCCCAGTCTTGCACAAATCTTCATTTATGCATCAGGCCACTAGTAAGATCTATAAATACAGTGACAAGTAGACATGGTGGTCTTAACATTGTGGATGATAACAACTACATATACAGCAGACTGCAAAGCTCCATATATATCCAGACCACATCCTCTACTAGAAAACCATGGCAGGTCAGTTTGCAAATCCTTTGGTGAGTCCTCCCATCCATCCAAACCAAAAGTTTACCAGGCTGCTCAAAACACAAAAGAGGCAGCTGCTAATTCTTCACAGCCTTTGAGAGCTTTAGTTGGAAACTGACACCTCTCTTAATGAAGGAAGAAGAAATTTTAGTGAAAAAGTGAAAAACTCTGAATGAGACGAATCAAGGAAAAAAGAAAATGTAAAATATTATGAATGGAAGACTTCGAAGACGACGCGTTTTCATTTTTCACAATAAAGCCTTTTAATTTTGTTACTCATTTGTTCCTGTTTCATTATATCCTTTTAAATGTCCCTCTTTTCTTTTTCGTTCTTTCATCTTTTATAATGCAGTTGCCTTAAGGCCTATGAGTTACCAGCAAACATGGTTGGGGCAAGATGTTGACCATGTAACTAGCAGACACGGCCTTGTTTCCTCTCACTGGTTTCCATTCTCACGCCCCAATCCCGCCTTCCCTGACATTGGCTGGCTTCTCTTTCTTCCCCAGCCCTCTGCTTTATCCAATGAGGTGCATGCACCCCACCCACCTCTTTGTGCCAGGCTATTCTCCTCCTTTCTCACCATCCTAATGACAAAGGAGTCTCATTTCCACCTGGCATCCATCTTCCTGTATCCTCTTCTCCTGACTCGCATGCCCAGCGTGTCCAGCTGCGTCCCACCCTCCCCCAAACGTGTCACATGCTGCCCTGAGCTCCTCTCTTCCTCCACCCGCCCCCTCAGATCCCTCCTGCATGTTCCCAGGACAGACAGAACAAGGACGGGTCGCCCTGGAACATCTGGGTGCCTCCCCAGTGCCACCCTGGGTGACAGAAGTGAACAGGACAGATGGAGGCATGGGTGCTGGAAGTGTATGTTCTGGTGCAGGTCGTATCCAACCTGGATCAACTGTCCCTTTGCCTGCATACCAGACTGTGAACCCTTTATTTACTCTGTATCCTCCCCACTTCACAGCCCCAGGTCCCCGATCCGAGGTCAATACCAGGTAAGTGACTGATACTCCAGGTCAGTGTCCCATCAGCGTAAGCTCACGTAGTAGGAGGTCCCCTGCAACTCTACAGAGGAAAGGTATTTAGAGGGGAGCTTTGATAAGGACCGTTTTATTTTATGGCCCCTGGGATGGAGGGCGTGTGTGTAGGGGAGGTTCACGTGAAGGAAGGCTCCGAGTGCCAAGCTCACCGTTGCCAGCTAAAAGCGGCTCTGGGTGTGCTTAGCTGCTGTCTTCTCTGCTATTCTGGTCGTCTGCTCCCTCCTCCCACTGCCAGCCGCCTCCCTTCCAGCTGCGAGGGTCATAAACCTCAGGCACCCTCTGACACCTGCCGCTCTGAGCACCCAGCTCCCCCTTTGCCACCAAAGGGTCTCACGTCCCAGCCCAGCCCCAAGCGGCAATGGCCAGAGGGTTGTGCTGCTATTTTGCAAAAGCAGGAACTTTCTATCAGTCCTACTCCTGCCAGGAGCTTCACCAAGACCAAGTAAAAAAAAAAAAAGGTGGAAACCAGGACACGAGGGGACTCCGTAAAGGCTGGCTGTAAGGATACCCAGTCGTGATCTGGGCCCAAGCCAGCAGAGACACACACCCCACCAGCTCCATGCCGCAGGGCCTTGTTCCCAGTGTGGACGCGCGCCAGGTTGGGCTGCAAGCTCTCGCTGCTGCAGCTGCATCACCGGGGCCTTGGCAGAAGTGACAAAGCAAAGAGAGCGAGAGAGAAACATGCTGTGGGCCTCGGTGGGACCAATGACCCTCTTTGCCAGAGACTGGCTTTGGGTTGGTCCATTCTCAGCAGGGTCCTGGGAAGTAAAAGGGAGGTGACCTTGTCACACCAAGGACACGCCCCACCCCTGCTGAGGAATTCTGGACTCCAGGCTCCAAGAAGTGTGTGTGGGAGTGGGGGGAGGAGACCCTCCAGGTTCCAGAGGTGGGACTGAAAAGGACAGGGGTTTTCCAGGTGCAGGATACTGGCTTAGGCGGATTCTGATAGTCTACCATCTCAATGGCCGCATTATCCCCTCTTGGGACCACAAAAACAGGCCCAAGGCACACTCTTCAAGAACCCAGGAATCGCTGAAACCAGTTTGGCTCAGTGGATAGAGTGTCGGCCTGCGGACTGGAAGGTCCCGGGTTCGATTCTGGTCAAGGGCTTGTACCTTGGTTGCAGGCACATCCTCAGTAGGGGGTGTGCAAGAGGCAGCTGATTGATGATTCTCTCTCATCAATGTTTCTAACTCTCTATCCCTCTCTCTTCCTCTCTGTAAAAAAATCAATAATATACATACATATATATATATATATATATATATATATATATATATATATATATATATATATATATATGAATCCTTTAAAAAAAAAGATCCAGCCCTGTAAGCATCCCCAGTGGAGATCCAAACACTTTTCCGGTGATGGTGGAGGGCAGGGTTGACCAACTCTTTCTTAAAGGGCAAGACAGCAAATATTTTAGGCTGATGGGTCCTATGGCCTCTGTGGTAACTACAGTAAGTTCTCAACTAAAGGTCGTGGATCGGTTCTTGGAAACTGTGACTTGAACCAAAATGACATACAATGAAACCAATTTCACCATAGACGAATTGATGTATAAAAAAAAAAAGAGTTCATTCCTAGGGCATATTTCTGGTCACAAAACCATCACCAAACTTCTAAATAAAGACCCCAAACACTTCTAATATTAAACACTGAGAGAAACGTGAGCGATATATACATTCAAGAAAGATGAATAAGAACAATGAAGATCCTTATTTTCCAACCCACTTATTCCAGTAGAACTGTTCCAGCAGCCCAGGGCATAAGGCAGGTACTCCCCCAGCTCCGGGCGCCCTTCCATTGCAGGGCTACTCACACCCACACCACTCAGAGGGCGACAGTTTAGACACATCAGTTCATCTAAGAGTCACATCTTTGGGGTGTGAGAGGAAACCAGAGTGCCCCAGAAACCCACACAGACATGAGGAGCACTTGGAAACTCCACACAGCCAGAAATCAATCCCCCCCGCCCATCAATATTACGTTAAAACAACATTGAACAAAACAACATTTTTAGAAAACCTGCTGTCCTCAACTATAGCAATTAGCATGAAAGCGGCCATAGACAATTAAACAATGGGCATGTCTGTGTCCCAATAAAACTTTATTTACAAAAGCAGGCGACTGGCCCATGGGCTGTAGTTTGCCAGCTCCTGCTCTTCCTGCTCTTCCAGCATTTCCAAATCCCTAGAGCAGTGTTCCCCAAAGTGTGGTACGCATACCCCCAGGGGTACAGGAAGAGTTTGGTGGGGGTACGAGTTGCACCAGAGTTTGGTGGGGATATGCACTGCACCGTGCTTAGCTGTGCCTAATTCTACGTTCTCATGAGTACGAGGGGTACTCAGCATTATGAAAATTATGAGAAGGGGTTTACATGTCAAAAGTTTGGGAAACACTGCCCTAGAGGAATAGAGGCCCTCCACCGGGAGGACTCCCCATCCCCAGTCTGGAGACAAGGGCCTATTCTGGGGACCAGGCCTCCATTCCTGCTGCTCCCTCCCACAAGACACGAAAGAAGTCTGGGCTGCTTATTCGAGAAGAAAAGTCAGGTTCGCATCAGAAACCGAGGGCAAAGAGGCCACCAAACCCAAAGGCTTTAGAGATGAAAAGACCTAGGGTCTGGGAAAGGAAGTGACCTGCCCAAGACCATGTAACTGGCAAAGGCTTCCAGATGCTGTCCAGTGATCTTAATCCCCCAGAGCAGAGATTTTCAACCTTTTCCATCTTGTGGCACTCATAAACTAATTACTAACATTCAAAAAAATATGTTTTGCTGACCTGATAAAAAAAAAAAGGTATATTTTGATTGATTGATTTTTTAAAAAAGTAATTACCTACCCTTTTTGCTCCAAAGTGACTTTTTACACAAATCAGGCGCCTATACTTGTATAGAAGGATTTCTGGTACCAAGAACGAACAAATCAGAAGCAATCTTATTCTGCGACGTGACCAATAAGAAACAGCTCCATATTATGGCTCAAGACAGGGCATTCACACCAGACGGCTATTTTTGTGTTGGCTGTTGTCATTTTTTTTTTTTTGACAATCTAAGGGAAAAGAGGTCAGTGACCCTGACTAAATAGTCGAGTACTGCATGTTTTAAAATTTCTTGTAACACACCAATTGAAAATTTCTGCTCTAGAGGGATGACTGGAAAGGAACCAGAATCCACAGTCTTGCTGGTGGAGGCTAAGGGCCTATGACACATCTCTATACCACATCCTGGGGACTTTCAGTAACCTCTAAGAGCAGAGGTCAAGGAGAGAGCTTAGAGAGGGTAAAAAAAATAAAATAAAATAAAATATATATGTATATATGAAATATGTATACATATATATGAAATATTTCACATATATACATATACATATTTCATATATACATATATTTCATATATATATATATATATATATATATATATATATTAGAAGCCCAGTGCACGAAATTCATGCAAGAATAGGCCTTCCTTCCTCCAGCTTCCCTCTGGCACCCAGGACCCCGGCTTAGCTCGCAGAGGGAGGCTCCACCCACCCACTGCAGCCTGCCGGCTGGTGGCCTCAACCTCCCTCTGAGGAATGATCACAGGGCAAGGCTGGGCCCCGACCAATCACATCCCACCGCCTTGGCTGGCCTGGTGCCAGTGGATGTCATAGTGTGGTCCCAGATGGTTGTCCAGATAGTCATTCAAATGGTCGTTCCACCGTATGGTCAATTTGCATATTATGCTTTTATTATATAGGATATAATATAAGCATAATATGCTAATTAGACCAGATATCCTTCTGGACAAAGCCAAGGCTGTGAGGGCTGAGCCCCTTGCACGAATTTTGCACATCAGGCCTCTCTCTATATATATATACTCTATATATATAATCTTTCCAGGACCTATCCTCCTGGTCATAGCTATTAGAGAAAAGAAAAACTTAAATAGAAACCTGAACTTCCACAAAGGGTGTGGTTTGGTAGGAGTCGTGGGTGTTCGTGAGCAGAAACTGGTCCAGCAGTCTGGGCGGGCCCTGGGATCACAAACAAGAACAAGACACACAGCCTCACCCAGTGCTGGGCCACACCCTTTCTCAGCAGCCGCGCACCTTCAGAGCTTCACAACCATGTCCTCCAAATCTCCTTCCAGAACAGAGTTCCCTGGCAAACTCCATTTGCCTGACCATACACATATCTACCCGGGTGGGCACCCTGCCGCCGTCTGGGATGCATTGTGTCTAAAACCTAAACAAACATGGCTGCCCTCAAAGAAATCTGAGCCCTGATTTTTCTATTTCTGTCCATCACTAAGGCTCAACATGCCCGTGCCTTCTCTCCCCCTCTCCTGTCCCCAAGCCAAAATGGCTCTCGCAGTTACCTCTTCCTCCGCACTCCCACAGGCTCCGCCCGCACCCATCACCCCCCGGCCTGGAATACTGCCCGTCTTCTGCCTGGGGCTCAGACTCTAAGCTTGTAAAAAGGCCAGGCTGACCTTCCCCCAGATCCCCCATCCTTCTGCCACCCACCACAATCTCCTCAAGGTCAAGGCCCAGTCCTTGACCCGTCTCCTCCCCAATTCCCAGAACCTGACCCAACATGGCAGGTACCCGATCCGTGCGGAATGGATGAATCCCAGCTCTCATCAGGAGCCGTGGCCACACAGGAAAAAACGATGCCTCCTGTGAGCCCAGAATGCCAGGCCCCGCAGGCCTCCGTCATCCCACCCACCCTTCCCGCCCGCCATCTCAGAAACAGGCTCCATCCGGCTGATCGATGCCTAGCCCCCGTCATGTGCCAGTCATGCCTGCATCCACATCCCTGCCCACGCGCTGCTCGCCCGCCCTGTGCTGCAATGACGTCCATGCCCTCCCCCCTCCATCCACTCCAACTCCTACGTAACTGCCGGGCTCCGGGGGGAGACAGGGATGCAGGAAGCAGGGGTGGGGGTGAGGGGGAGATCGTTTCTAAAAACCGGGTACTGGGGGGCAATGACGAAGATATGCCGAGGTCTCTGATCCCTGGAGACACCGCCCTCCCCATGGGTCGCAGGCGATGAGAGACGGAAGGGGGTAGGAGGAGGAGCCAAATTTTTCCACTGAAGGAAAAGGCATGATTTTCATCACTGCTTCTGTTGCCCTGGTAACCAGGGACAGCCCAGTGGAGAGTACAGTAAAAGAACACCATGTTTATCTTTGCTTCCCGATCCACTCCCCGTGCACCCTTCCCTGACCATCCCCTAGCCCCCAGGCCCGCACTTGCTTTTTTTGCTTTTTGTTTTTTGTTTATAATGCCACCACCATCTTCCTGGTCACCCTTGCTCAAAACCTCTGAGGCAGAGCTCATGTCTGCCTCTCTTTAACCAACACCATGGACCATATATCCTTCTACTGCAACATCTCACCAGGGATCATCTCACCACACCCATCTGCCATGCCCGGGTGGGTGGGGGGGGGGTCCCCACGTACAAAAAAAAAGCTGATCTCAAAGCACCAGAGTGGCATCCACTCCACCACAGGCTCTGGGCCACAGGGACGAGAGGGCGAGAAGGTGAGGAAGACTGCCCAGCTCCCCCCTCCCCCCTTCTCAGCCCGAGACAGCTGGCATGGAGTGGGCCCCTGTTTTCCGTTCCCCCTCGTATGTCCGGGATCAGGAGAATGAACGAGCCAGGTTGAGAATAGGGGGGGGGGGGGGCCAGGGGGGTGGGGAGAGACGATGGGGAGGGGGGAGCCGTTCTACCCACAAGCTTCCAAAGATCCTGCCTCCCCCACAGCCCCAGTGTCTGCGTGACCTGAGTGGAGCCAGGGCGCCTGCCCTGGGAGGTTATATAAGCGTTATATAACATGGCAGCACCAATGAGCATGCAGGGGCGGAACCAAACCCAAGGGGCTGGAAGGAACAGCCTTCTCGCCAGCAATGCCAAAAAGGATCGCCAGGCCCTGGCTGCCCCGGCTGCCCCGGCCCTGTCTATACCTGCTCCTTCCAACCCAGAGGACACACACACACACACACACACACACACACACAGACTTGCCTGGCTCTGCATTCTTCTTCCCACGCTGGGCAACAGGGAGGGCCTGCGGCACCATCACCGCCCCGGCCGTGCCAGCCTCTGCCCCTTCAGCCTCAGGTGGGCCGGCTGCCCTGCCCACAGGGGAGCAGCCAGGGGGCCACAGGCAGGCAGTGGAGGGGCGGGGAGCCAGCAGCCCCCTTCTCTGGGTCCCTGCACAGAACAGGGTACTGGGGGGGGGGGGGGGAGGGCTGCAGCAGCTCAGGATTGGCTGGGCCGGCGTCCCTCTGTCCCCTCGGTCTGTCCTCCTCCGGTCCTCTAAAACACACATCACACCAAAAGGGGAAGAAAAAAAAATGGTGCACATTTGGCAAATGATGAATCCCAAATTTCGGTCTAGGGCTGCAAATAAAGCTAAGGGCGGGTGTGTGTGTGGGGGGGGGGGCGCCATTACCCAATGTCTCTAAGTCCCCCCTCCCCTTCTCCCACCACATCCTGACCAGCCAACCAACCAACCAACCAACCAACCACCTATGGACTTGGGCTGGAGTCCTGGAGACCCCCTTGCCTCCTGACCCACCTCCCTCCTCTCCTCCCAGCCCCTGTCTCCGGGGCTGCTTCAGTTGCTAAAGCTTCAATCTCTGACCTTCCTGCCCCCCCCTTCTCTTCCCACCCCCCCCCCCCTCCCACCCGCCCAAGTCTCTGCAGAGTGCTCTGAGTCTGGGGCTCTCAGACATGCACGCAGGAGCCAGGTGCCTGGCCCTGGGCAGTTTAGGACAGTTCTGGGCTGGGGCTCCATCAAACTCCTCCATCCTCGCCTTCACACCCACTTTATTATTTGGGGGTGGGGGGAACTGGACAGAGCAGAGCCCAATAGCATCCTTCTTCTCTCCCCCCCCCCCCCCAACCCCGTTCCTCCTGATAGCGCCTGCCCTCTCCTGAGCTATGCCACTGGCCTCCCCCCGCCCCCCTCCTCGTCCACATGCCCCTCCGATCCCCCTGCAGGAGGAGGTGGGGGGAATACGCATTCCTATCAGGAGCCTCTGCGCACCCTCTCTCGCCTCCTCAACCACCTGTCTCGGCAGCGCTCTCCATCCCCCGCAGCCTCCCCCAACTCCGGGCGCCCCCGCTGTAGCCAAGGGCCGCCACGCCCACTGCGGAGCGCAGAGATGCAAGGTGGGGAGCGGGCCGGGGCGCCCCGGACACCCCAGGGGGCTGATCCTCCACCTCCCCCGCCCTGCTGGCCCTCGGGGGCCGCCCGGGGCCGCTCCAGGCCCGGGACCGCAGCCACCCACGCTGCGGAGGCAGTGGCGCCCGGAGGCCGCACCGCAGCGGGGGTGGGGCGGCGGGGCGGGTGCACGGTCCCTAGGGCCCCCCCCCACCCCTGCCCTGGGCTCCCCGAGATCGCCCGCAGGCCCGGCCCACGGGGCACCCTCCTTGCACACATACCCCCCCCCCCCCCCCCCGCACCTGGCCGGAGCTCTGCTCTTACCTCCCGCAGCGGCTTTCCCCCACGGGGGCTGCGCCACCCGCCCGGCCGGCCGTCCTGCCGAGCGCCCCGCGGGAGGTGCGCGCTGCGCAGCCGCTGCGGGCGGACGCCGCTGCCCGGGCGGGCGTGTGAGCTCAGCCTGTCCGCGCCCGTGTTTCCCACGCTCCGCGCCCCGCGCCGCGCCACCCAGCGGCCGCGGCGGGCACTGCAGGCTGGCGTCCGGGAAAATCTGACGCAGCGCTGCCTGCCAGCGGCTTTGGAAATTCCCAGAATTTGACCTAGGCTTGCTGCTGTGGGGTGGGAGGCTGACGGGTCATTCTGACCCCCTCCGGCCTTAGGGCGGGGCGCCTCCCAGCCACCCCGCTTCTGAAGGAGAGGCGAAGCCTATGCAAAAGGACGTCCTGAGCCCCCCCCCCCCCCCCTTCGTCTGACCTTGCTTCCATATTTCCCTCTGGGCAAATGGAGACTGGGGTGAGGGTGCTGACTCACCTTGGAAAATGGGGGTGTGGGGTCAGGGGTGGGCAAATGGCAGGCAATTCTGGAGGCTGGCATGCCAAGGCCTCCCTGGTCCTGTCTAGAGCTGCGAGGTGTGCACAGGTCACTTCCAGAGCTACCTTGTTGTTTAAAACACATACACACACACACACACACACACACACACACACTAAATAGAGGCCCCAGTCCACCCGAATTCTAATTTGTTCTTATTTGGGAGATTTGGAGGACTGGTGTCTACCCTTTTCTCAGATGTGGACCCTTTGGAGATGTGGAAAAGAGCCATGGGCCCTGGCTCCAGGAAAGGGCACACCCATCCATAAATACAACGGTGCATGGCGGGAATTCCCAGATATCCCCAAACTCCGTGCACCCCGGCTTCCGCACTCCTTCCGAGAAGACGCCCTGAGACCGCGGGAGATGGCGCTGGCGATGGCCTGAACCATCGTTGCTTAGGCTGTGCTCCTCCTCAGGGATGTGTCCTCCACGCCTCAGGCCTGCATGTCTGCCTACAGCAACCCCGACTCCCCTTTCAGACCCGCTCCAGCCCTGTTCTCCCCGGTTGTCACACTCGGAAGTGCAGTCCGTCCCCTGTGTTTTCTGGGCACAAGTTCTTTTTATTTTATTATTTTATTTTATTGATTTTTTACAGAGAGGAAGGGAGAGGGATAGAGAGTTAGAAACATCGATGAGAGGAACATGGATCAGCTGCCTCCTGCACACCCCCTGCTGGGGATGTGCCCGCAACAAAGGTACATGCCCTTGACTGGAATTAAACCTGGGACCTTTCAGTCCACAGGTCGACACTTTATCCACTGAGCCAAACCGGTTTTGGAAGGGCACAAGTTTTTTATGCCATTTGTGTCTGTTCATGCCATACTCGAGGACGCCTAGTTAGTTTTGTGGTTGGCTGTCTTATGGCTTCTTCTAGATTATAAACACTTTTGAGGTCAGTTTCCCCCTCCTCCAGGTCGGACGGTACCTCACAGGGTATGCCCTTGACAAACAGCTCTTAAGTAACCAGAGGAAGTTGAGAAAACAGGAGGCCCGCAGGAATCCCCCACCCTCTTCCTCTGACCTTGCTTCCATATTTGACCTTTGCCACCTTGAGATGAGACCTCTCTTCCCCGAATTTTTTATGAGGCTACTTCCTCTTGGACCACCCTGCCCAACCCTGCTACATCACATTCCCTGCACAGCATTGCCTCCCGTGATGTTTGCTTTCCCTGTCAGACTAGGAGCTTTGCAGAGCGTCCTTAATCCCAGCACAAGGCCAGGTGCCTGCCAGGAAGGAACACAAGTACTGATTGAACGAATCAGAGCTTTGAACTGGATTCAGACCCCGATGAGAGACTCTGGGGCAGAGGCAGGATCCGAGGGGTCAGCCAGGGTGGGACCAGCCCTACTGTTTTTGAATGAGGGACCGCCTCGGTTTGCCGGAGTCTTCTATGTCCTCCACTGGAAAATGGGGAGACTACGACTCAGGGTTTCTCTTATCTTGGCAGAGATAGAGGCGGAGGCCCTTGTACTTTCGAAGCGCCGGGAGTCGTGTTACGTGACTTCACCTGATCTTCACAATAACATTCTGAGGTGGGCAACTGCCATTTGCCATTTTGCATACGAGGAAACTGAAGGAGGACAGTGGAAAGCCATTTGCATAAGGTCACCTCGCTGGTTGCCAGGGAACAGAGCCTTGTCTCTGGGTCCCCAGCCCAGGCCCGGCACTCTCCACGCACCACCCCTGCCCCTTTCTTCACACCCAAAGCAGGAAGCAGTGTGGGGACGGACACATGCATGTTGACATTCGGGGATCAGGAAACTTGCAAATGTCACTGCTTACCATTTCTGAAAGGGTTTTTTTTCTTCTTCTTCTTCTTTTTTTGCGGATGGGAGTGTGTATGATGGGTTGTTGGCATAAAGTATATAACCACAGAAATCAGGGCAGAAAGGAGTAGGATCCGGAGCAATTGACCTTTGCGCTGACCCTATGTTCCCCATCTCTGGCCCTGCTCCCCCTGCCCCCCGGAGGGGTTACCTTGATTGACAGCCCCCTTTCACTGCACAGCTGGACCTCTGTGGGCTCTGAGGTACCCCCGAAGCTGGGGATCTCTTCCTGCCTCCGTATTTCCAGTGCTGCCTGTCAGCTGTATTTCCTGAGTGCTTGCTAAGTGCTTTGTCACTGCCTGTGGGAACCTGGCCAAAGCACTTAACCCCTCTGAGCCACAGTTTTCCCTGCTGCGAAATGGGATCCATCACCATCAACCGCACCATGCTGCACTGAGATAACCAAACAGCTGCCGCTGGGCCGCAGCTGGTGGAGAAATCACACCCCACCTGGTGTTCTGGTTGTCATTCCCGGGCGCATGGGGTGGTCTGTGTAGTAACCGGGGAGGGTGGAGAGGCGCGGAGGGGCCAGAACAGAGAAGAAAGGACTAAGAAGGCCACTGTCCTGCCCACCGAGCCCCTCCCAGGGACCTGGGGAGCTGAGGGGCTCAGAGCCTGTTTGCACCATTGAGGAATGATTTGTGAATTTGAGTTGGTATGTCATCATCAGCCCCAGTGATGAGAAGCTTTTCCAAGCCCTTGGTGGTCAGGGGGCTTGGACCACTGAAAGCCAGGATGGAGGGTAAGAGCCACCTTTTGCGGACTCCAGCTGTGAGGTGGTGGTGGTGGGGATGTCTCCCAGCAATAACTCCAGAGCATTCTAAGAATGTCGATGAAACCGTCAAACAAGATGTTAGGTGTTAGAAGGTGGAGTCTGGCCGGTATGGCTCAGTGGTTGAACATCAACCTATGGTCACGGTTCAATTCACAGTCAGGGCACATGCTCTGGTTTCAGGCTCAGTTCCCAATGTGGGGTGTGCAAGAGGCAGCTGATCAATGACTCTCTCTCATCATTGATGTTTCTACCTCTCTCTCCTTCTCCCTTCCTCTCTGAAATCAATTAAAAAAAATTTTTTTTAAAGAAAGAAGGTGGCCTAGACGCAGGCGTCTTCAAACTACGGCCCGTGGGCCACATGCGGCCCGCAGAGGAGTCTGATCCGGCCCGCCAGGTTTTTAGGGCAGTGAGCGCAGCCGAGGTGTTACAGTAGGAATTAGTAGTTCATATAGTCCGGCCCTCCAGCTCTCTGAGGGACCGTGATCTGGCCCCCACTTTAAAAAGTTTGAGGACCCCTGGAGCATTGGCCTGCGGACTGAAGGGTCCCAGGTTCGATTCCAGCCAAGGCCACATGCCTGGGTTATGGGCTCCATTCCTAGTATGTAGGAGCATGTAGGAGGCAGCCAATCAATGATTCTCATCATTGATGTCTCTCTCTCTCTCTCTCTCTCTCTCTCTCTCTCCCTCCCTCCCTCTCTGAAAAAAATCAATTTTATATATATATATATATATATATATATATATATATATTTTTTTATATATTTATTTTTTTTTTTTTTTTTTAAGAAAGAAAGGTGGTGGTGCCTGGCACATAGTAGGGACTCAATGTGTGCGAATTCTAAGATGTGCATGCTCGGGCATCAGAGCACAGAGCCCTGTGCTCCTGGCTCTTCTGGTAACGCTGCCTTTACACAAAGCGTGTTTGTTTCTCGCCGTGGCCAGTGCCCCAAGGAACACACGTGGAAGCGCCCTTCAGAGATCCCCCTGCGTGTGGTTTGGTGGTTTTTCTCTTTAAAGATTAAATCACTTCTTCCCTTTTCCGCTCAACAAAGACAACAGCCCTTTGGTTTTTGATAAAATGTTCCTTTCCTACCAGCAGGTGGATATGCCCGGGGCACTGAGAGCTGTGCTTTCAAAACACACACACACACACACACACACACACACACACATGCCCGGCTGTTGGAATCGCTTCCTTCTTATTTCTCTTATCTTCTGCCCTCGGGGCTGTGTCTTCTCTGCCTTGGCAGGCTGATAACATGTGGAAGGATGAGAACAGTTCTAATTAATAGACTAATTAGTGGTACAAGCCTTTAATAGCTGATTATAGGAAAGTCATTCCCCACCCCCCACCCCAAGTGACTTATTTGTTTATTGCTGTGGTGCTGCAGTGTGGCACAGAGTCAGCTTCTAATGATCTATTGGTTGGTTTTGTGGGACTTTTCTCTCTTCTTCTCCTCCCCCTGGCTAATGGTCAGCAGAGGCAGAACGGGAGAATTCAACCAGCTGACCAGCAGCTCTGCATAGACATGTGTTGGGATTCTTTCCCCACCCCACCCCCAATATATTTTGTTGATATCAGAGAGGGAGGGAGAGGGAGAAGGAGAGGAAGAGGAAGAGGAAGAGGGAGAGGGAGAGGGAGAGGGAGAGGGAGAGGGAGAGGGAGAGGGAGAGAGAGAGAGAGAGAAACATCAATGATGAGAGAATCATTGATTGGCTGCTTCCTGCACACCCCCTACAGGGGATCAAGCCTGAAGCCCAGGCAGGTGCCCTTAACCGGAATCAAACAGGAGACACTTCTGCCTGCAGGCCGATGCTCTATCCACTGAGCCAAACCAGCCAGGGCAAGTGTTGAGATTCTGATGTCACCCCATCTTGAGAGCTCAGAGCTAGAAAGGGGGTGGGAGATATTGGACAAAAGAAGGCAAGAAAATCCTACCCATTGTGTTGGCTTACCTCCCGTGACCCTCCTCTCTTGAGTCCTCCCTCTTGGTGTGTCATAACTCACATGCATGTCAGTTACATTCAAACACAGCCTGGTTATGGAGCTTAAAAGCCAGCACTGAAATTGACTACCTAGGTCCAAACCTTGGTTCTCCCACTGGCCAGCTGTGTGGTCTGAG